GGTGGCTGGTTGTAACGTTGTAGCTTGCTGTTTAATAGCCATATCTATATACAATAGATCCCTGATTGTAAAACCTCTTATCTTTTTAGTCATAGATATGGCTACCGGTAGTTTTTCAGCTAACTTAGCAAAATACAAATGTCCCTCCCACTGTAACACGGTAGTATGTTTGCCAGCAATACACAATAGGGGTTTCAGTAGATAAAGTAAGCTAGCCACCGTATTTGCCACCTGCCCTCTTGGTGCTGTCATCGGCTGTAGCTGAGCTTCTGTTCTAGCTAAATCCAACTCATTGTTTCGAATCCTCTTCGCTATGTTCCGGTTCAAACATGTATGGTTGAATGTCACCATGTAGCTAATAGAAAATCAAAAAATGCTCCATCGTCGAATTCGTGTTGATGAGAGGAATCACTTGAAGCCATTGCGTTCTGGTCAGTGCTTTCAGTTTTGCCCAAATAGTGTTTCCCCAAAAAATTCAGTGAGATCCCTATTGGCTCCTTGATTTGCCACTAGAAGTTGCTAGATTACGTTTTGCCATTGCTGCGACGAGTCACAGCACCAATTTGCCTTGCTGTAGCACAGATGTGGTCCCCGATGTAGCGTTTTCGCCCCCCTCTCCCTCCGTACACCACCTACCCTTGTGCTTCTCTGCCTGTGTGTGCACAGTTGCTGTGACTTCTATTGCACAGACAGCTTCACCCACTCTCGTTTGCGGCAGAATTTAGTGGGAAAAGTCTCTAAATGCTATCAAAACTATAGAAACAGTGTCAAAACTCCCCAAAGGCAGCCTGAAAAGTAGCTGAATTTGTCGCTAGAATCTTTTACCAATAAAAGTCGCAGGAGGGGTCTGAAAACTCACAAAATAAGTGATAAAGCCGCTAAGTTGGCAACATTGTGTGCAAAGGATTTTGTGTTGTTTGTCCGCCTCCCTTTCAAAAATGCCCGCCTTGGGGGAGGGACGAGGCCAGAGCACAAAGCACCTCCCCACACGAGTTGTAGTCTTTCAGAGACTGGAAAAAATGTGTCAGCTTGTATATTTAGCAATGAATCCGCCATAGGAACATCACTGAAAGATGTCCAATGGCTCTATCAAACAAGGACAACCATATCTAAACACAGAAAAACTTCGGTATAACGTAGAGGCTTCGTGAAATGCCACAAACCAGGACTACATTTATTTTCTGATCTAGCACCCCCCTTCAATACACCGGAAGTCATCATAGGGTGTATTGTTTGGCGCGAAGCCCAGTCCCGCCCTCTTCGTGGCCAGTTATGTGTAAAAACACATCTCACTGACCTAGAAATCCCTCGGACATGCTCAAAACAAACCCAGGACAGCACAGGTCAGAACATGAACACGCAGACTGACTGTTGGACTGGCGGCCGCGTCACAAAGCCGTGCTCAACCACGTCTCAAACCCTTCGCTTCCACCCGACAAGCTCGGGCTCACACTGGGTAAAGACTCATCATCGATGATCTGTGTAAAACATGTTCCTGTTAACCCTTGTGTGTGCTGCTCACTGACTGCCCATCCATGCATGATGTTGCCATCGCCATGTTCAGTGATGTCATGCAGGCATTTAATGACAAGGATAATATGTCATACTAGAGTTCTGATGATCTCCTCCCCCCACCACATTTTGTTACGTTACAGCCTTATTCTAAAATTGATTAAATGTTTTTTTTCTTCTCATCAAAGATAACAAAGCAAAAACAGGTTTTTAGACATATTTGCAAAATATCACATTTACATAAGTATTCAGACCCTTTACTCAGTACTTTGTTGAAGCACCTTTGGCAGCGATTACAGCATCGACTCTTATTGGGTATGACGCTACAAGCTTGGCACACCTGTATTTGGGGAGTTTCTCCCATTCTTCTCTGCAGATCTTCTCAAGCTCTGTCAGTTTGGATGGGGAGCGTCGCTGCATAGCTATTTTCAGGTCTCTCCAGAGATGTTCGATTGGGTTGAGGTCTGGGTTCTGGCTAGGCCACTCAAGGACATTCAGAGACTTGTCCCGAAGCCACTCCTGCGTTGTCTTGGCTGTGTGCTTAGGGCCGTTGTCCTGTTGGAAGGTGAACCTTCGCCCCAGTCTGAGGTCCTGAGCGCTCTGGAGCAGGTTTTCATCAAGGATCTCTTTGTACTTTGCTCCGTTCATCTTTCCCTCGATCCTGACTAGTCTCCCAGTCCCTGCCGCTGAAAAACATCTCCACAGCATGATGCTGCCTCCACCATGCTTCCCCGTAGGGATGGTGCCAGGTTTCCTCCAGACGTGACACTTGGCATTCAGGCCAAAGAGTTCAATCTTGGTTTCATCAGACCAGAGAATCTTGTTTCTCATGGTCTGAGAGTCCTTTAGGTGCCTTTTGACAAACTCCAAGCGGGCTGTCATGTGCCTGTTACTGAGGAGTGGCTTCCGTCTGGCCACTCTACCATAAAGGCCTGATTGGTTGAGTGCTGCAGAGATGGTTGTCCTTCTGAAAGATTCTCCCATCTCCACAGAGGAACTCTGGAGCTCTGTCAGAGTGACCATCGGGATCTTGGTCACCTCCTTGACCAAGGCCCTTCTCCCCCGATTGCTCAGTTTGTTCGGGTGGCCAGCTCTAGGAAGAGTCTTGGTGGTTCCAAACTTCTTCCATTTAAGAATGATGGATGCCACTGTGTTCTTGGGGATCTTAAATTCTGCAAAAGAAAATTGGTACCCTTTCCCAGATCTGTGCCTCGACAAAATCCTGTCTCGGAGCTCTACGGACAATTCCTTCGACCTCATGGCTTGGTTTTTGCTCTGACATGCACTGTCAACTGTGGGACCTTATATAGACAGGTGTGTGCCTTTCCAAATCATGTACAATCAATTGAATTTACCACGGGTGGACTCCAATGTGGTGGACTCCAATCAAATTGTAGAAACATCTCAAGGATGATCTATGGAAACAGGATGCACCTGAGCTCAATTTCAAGTCTCATAGCAAAGGGTCTGAATACTTATGTAAATAAGGTATTTCTGTTTTTAATTCTTTAGAAATGTGCAAAAAATTCTAAGAACCTGTTTTGCGCTTTGTCACTATGGGGTATTGTGTATAGATTGATGAGGAAAAACATTTATTTAATCAATGTTAGGCTGTAACGTAACAAAATGGGGAAAAAGTAAAGGGGTCTGAATACTTTCCGAATGCACTGTACATTGTGAGTTCAGACTGATGGCCTCTCCAACACTGAAGTGCCAGTTTCCTCTCTTGAAAGATGAATTTCGTGGTAATTTGCACCCTTGCAGCACGTTGTGAATTCTCAATGTGGCCTAGTTCATATTTATTTCAGCACTTCATGCCTGTCTGTCCTGCTGGGTTTGGAGGGACTTAGAGAAACATGACACCCCATCCTCTCACAAAACAATACTCATTGTTTTTCTATCAGCCTCACACATTGTCCCACGTGATGGAGGAATTTGGTTTATTTTCTCTCACACATTGTCCCATGTGATGGAGTAATTTGGTTTATTATCTCTGGCACATTGTCTCATGTGATGGAGTAATTTGGTTTATTCTCTGCACATTGTCTCATGTGATGGAGTAATTTGGTTTATTCTCTCTGGCACATTGTCCCATGTGATGGAGTAATTTGGTTTATTGTCTCTGGCACATTGTCCCATGTGATGGAGTAATTTGTTTTATTGTCTCTGGCACATTGTCCCATGTGATGGAGTAATTTGTTTTATTGTCTCTGGCACATTGTCCCATGTGATGGAGTAATTTGTTTTATTGTCTCTGGCACATTGTCCCATGTGATGGAGTAATTTGGTTTATTGTCTCTGGCACATTGTCCCATGTGATGGAGTAATTTGTTTTATTGTCTCTGGCACATTGTCCCATGTGATGGAGTCATTTGGTTTATTGTCTCTGGCACATTGTCCCATGTGATGGAGTCATTTGGTTTATTGTCTCTGGCACATTGTCCCATGTGATGGAGTCATTTGGTTTATTGTCTCTGGCACATTGTCCCATGTGATGGAGTCATTTGGTTTATTGTCTCTGGCACATTGTCTCCCCATGGTATTATCAGCGATCACACTGCACTGCTTCTCCACCGCTCTGTTTTAGTCTCCTCTCTTCTGTCTTACACACTTATTGGTGTCAAGCTTCTCGGACGGTTTCCACACATTGGTCTCTCGCTCATGCATACACACAGATTATAACACCCCACGCAGCCAGAATACAGCCTGCTCCTACAGGGAGGGGAGGGAGAGCAGTAGCGTGTGAAACAAGATAACATAAACAAATCAATATTCTAACTGGTTGAGGGGCTACAAGCGGGAGTGTACAGCTCCTGCTGTGTCATGGTTACAGAGAGATGATGGAAGGGGCCAGGGACAGGGCCTTTCCCCAGGGACCCCCGGAAGGCCCTCTGCTATTACAGCCCAGTCGCCCCCTCTCTCTGCTGTCTCACCCCCCTCCATCAACCCCCCGCTGGGGGACATTGTGCCATGAATAACGACAAACACATAAACATCAAGAGAAAGGAATCCACTTTCCTGTCCATTCGAAAGCAGTAAAATAACTAGATTTTCAGATTCCCAGACTCAAGGATTTTGCCTTTGCCCTGTTCTTCTTCATCATTGTCAAAGGGAGTACAGTCTGTCTAGCCTAGCCTACTCTGGTGCACCTCTGCCTGATTTCATCAGCCTGTAGCTGGCTGTGAAGTGCAGGAGCTAGTACCCAAGGATGGGCTGCTTTTGCATTTGTCAGAGGAGCCTTGTCTTAGTGCTGACAGGCTGCCTCCCTGAGACCAAGAATTTCCCAATTAAGATTAGAGGGAGCCGTTATGACCTGGCCTTTCTCAACAGAGGGCAGCAAGTTAATAGCTGTTGACTCAAGAACCCCTCCACCTGCGGCCTGTAAGCGGGAGGCGTGGGGTGAGGTATGAGACAAAGTAAGAGGACTGCTCGCTCTGGCTGGCTCGGAGGCAGCCATTTACCGCCTGGTAAATGGCTGCCACATCAACATGCCGAGTCGGTCCAGTCTGGGGGGCGGGGCTGCCGAGGTGGCCGCCGAGGTGGCCAAGCGCTCAGTCATCCAAGCGCTGTAAAGCGAATCATATCAGTGAAAACGGACTGGCTTGAGTCAGGTGCTGTCCTACCGTGCGTACTGGAAGACACTGCTGCAGGAGCTGCATCTGAGTGCAGCTGTCTCATACTCTCTGTCTGACTTGTCGGTTTCTCTGTTCTGCATGCTTAGCTCTCTCCCACCCACTCTTTCTATCACACATCAGCCCAGCCTCCAAGGTAAATGCACAATGAATGGTAAAATGCTTTCACCTCAACCACCCCTCCCATTCCTCACTCACAGAGCCGCGGAGGGATCTGATGTATAGATGCTGCCGTCAGCGCTATTTTTAACACTGTGAAGTAAAGTCAGTGGTATTAAACTAGCATTGTGTTGCGGGCTTCCCCAAGATCTTTGGAGTTGAATAGATATAAATCTCTTGGTTTGGTGTTGGGCTTGTTTGTGTGCCCGACAAAACAAGTGTGATTGTGAGTGTATGTGTGTGTGTGTGGAGTGCTACTCTCTCATCCTCCCTATAATCACAGTTCTCCCGAGCTCCGCCACAAATCTGTTTTACTGGCCTCGTTGACATCGTACTTGGTTTTAACACCCAACGTGGTGCTGACAACTCTACATAAACGCTCAGTCATACTACAGTTGATAGAGCAGGCTGGAATTAGCTCACAGTGAAACCCTCAATGGGAAGAACTTAGCAGAGGAGCCAAACCCCAGACAGTTGATTTAAATATGTAGCCTAATTGATGTAATGTTTCTCTGTCTTACTGTACTACTGTTCCAGTGTCAAATCTCAGGATTTTATGGTACATGTCTATAATGCTAGTTGTGGTCACTTGGCTTTTAGGGCCTATCTCTGTGTGAGACATTAAACAGGTGAGCTGTATCAGCCCACTCTCGCTCTTTACTACACTATAAAGCCTGTTTTAGAGAAGTCTGATCTAGGGATCTCACTCAGGCTGGACTGACTGGCCTCTCCCACAGCCCTCACCACCCTTTCATGATGCTCCTCTCACCTCATGATGTGCCTCTCAGACAGGCCTAACGAGGGAGA